AAACCAAATTTAAATTTATTAGAAACTAAATAAAAAAATACTACAACTAAAAAAGAATAAAGAGATTATTCTTCTAAAAGGGAGATATAATTCTTTTTATAATAAAAAATATTAAAATAAAATAATAAAATAAAAAACTGGACTATAAATATATTAAATTCTATAAAATTCTCAAAAAAATCTCAGAAAATAACTATTATTTAAACTTATTACTAAAAGTCAGATTTTATTCTATCTTCTATATCTTACTTCTTAAAAGTATAGAAGGAAATATTATAGCTAAGTTTAGCAATAAATATAAAATAGAAGTTAAAGGCCTAGAGGAATATAAAATCAAAAAAATTCTTAAGTAATAAAGAATTAATAACTAGACTAAATATCTTATTAAGTAAAAAACTACTCTAAGAGTAATAACTAATAGAAACCAGTAAAAAACATTATTTATATATAATACCTCCTAAAGGATTTTTACTAATACTAGAGGAAAAAAATAAAAAAAAATTAAATAGAAAAGAATTAGTACTTATAAAACCATTACTAAGCCTAAGAAATAGCCAGTTAATAATATTAGTATATACTAATAACTAAAGGTTAATAGTAGCCTCTAATTTTACCTACTCTAAAGCCTCTAACTTCTTTAAAAATTCTAAGCTATAATAAGTTATCTTATACCCCCGGGTAATTAAAGACTAATACTAGCGGTAAGTATACTCTAGAAGGTCTAGAAATTAATTAAACTTAGCTTAAGCAGCCTAAAAGGCAGCTTGCTTCTTAAGAAACTCCTTCTTTAACTCTAACTTCTTATTATTAAGGTACTTTGCCTTAGAAATAACCTAAATTACTACTCTTATTTTAGTAAGAAAAAATAATAGAATTAGACTTAAACTTATATAAGTAAAGAGGAATATTAGTTCTATTATAAGAATAACTCTTATCAGTATAAAAACTATACTTCTTAGAATTATTATTTAGTATCTTATATATACACCTATAGGCAATATAGTAAGAATATAATATTACCTTAAAATTAAACTCCTTAATAGTAGCAATAAGAATTAGTAAGTTTATAGTAGAAATTGAGATTTTAAATTCTTCTATAGAAATAGCTAAGATTAATTTACTTACTATAAACTTAAAAAGATCGCGGGATTTTAAGGGACGCTTTAAAACTTAACTAAATATCCTATTAGTATATTAAAATAATTAAAAAAATAAGTTAGAAATATACTAATATATATATAAGAAACAGTCTTAAATATAGCTATAAGATATAACTAACAGAAGGGGAGATATTATATTACAGCCCAGGTTAAGACCAGGTAGTTATAACCAGTAGAACTATAATATACCTACTTTTTTACCTAATATAAATCCCAAACTTACCCTGTATAAGTAAGCCCGAATATATAACTCACTTCTCTAGGATAAGCTATAAAATTAGACTTACTCTTACCTAGTAAGCCTATATAAATACTACTAATATATAGATACTCCTTTTAGTATTTTTATAGATAGATAGCCTTATTAGCTATTAATATACTTAGTTATATTAAATCTATTATTCTACTATTACTAGACTGTAATTTATATTGCTTACTGTGACGTCCTGATCTACTTGATTATATACTCTATGCCTCGGACCTACTCTATATCCTTAGAATTAGATCCGACTGTTATAAATAATATTAAGTAAAGCTAAAAAAAACTAAATATTATTTCTATATAGCTTTAAGTAGCTATTTATAAATACTAAAGTAAGACTGCCTATCTAGCTAATCTTATTAATAATTAATATAATCTTACTTTTTTAATATAGCTTTTCTTCTTTTAATATATTCCTTATAATCTCTATCTTATCTTTAAATCTAATATTATATGCTAAATAGAGGGTTACTCCGCTAATAAGTGCAGCTGCGTTTCCGCTGGCGCCTGTTAGGAGTAGTATTTAAAGGCCGTCTTTCAGCTGGAATATATCCTTAATAGCGTGTATAACGCGAGATTTTCCCGTGCCTCCTTTACCGCCGACATATTAGAGGTGTTGCTTGCCCTCCTCTTCCTGGAGCCGAGTACTGCACTCGTTAAGAAATACTGCCGGTAGCAGCACCGCCATCGACTGTAGCTTGTTCAAGCTCCACTGCCTCGCCAGGCTCAGAGCGACGTCGACATGTGACGTATAAGGGCCAACTTCGAGACGCATCTGGCCCCCCGGACCGACCCCGTTAGCTGGTGTTTCTTCCGTCTGAGCGGGCTGCCGGGCCTATGCTTCTACAGTCAAGCTATTGCGTAAATTTAAGATTTACAACGTGATCTCGGTCAGCTTTCCCGAAATCAAGTCCGGGTCAGAGCCGCGCGTGCCAGACGTCACGTATAGGATCTTCTTACTGCCCCGGCGAGTCAGCAGTACGGCCGTCGATGAGGCTACTATATCACCTTGCACGATGATCGTCTGGTTACCGCCAGGCGATAGTCGGACTATCTTGTTTTCCACGGAAGTCGCCAGGTACGCCGTGCCATCCGCCTCCAGTGCAAAGTCGTCCAGGATTTGGTAACCCTCGATGAGCAGCTCCATCTCCGCATTATGCGCGACGGCGGGTGCGTTGTTTGCGAGCTTAAGGCGGTAGAAGGTACCGCGCAAGCCGGCAGAGAAGTAGACGTATTCAGGCTTCCGAACTGCAGGCAGTTGGATGCCGTTGAGGCCGGCGGGGAACGGGGCAGTGGCTGGTGGTGCCAACAAGTCCGGATTAGAATAGAAGATGCTCGGCGTCTTGTTGGCAAGATCGACGCCGTAGATTGTCCCAACGGACGAATCGGCAAGGAGGAAGAAGGGGTTGGCCTCGACGCCTTGGCCCCGGGGCCCGCGTGTGGTGGCGGGGTTAAGGACGGTTATGCCGTTCAGAAAGGCAGCATCCGGGATGTTGACAATTAGCGTAACAGCAGGCAGCTGCTTGCGTTCTGGATGCCAGCCGCGCAAGTCGACGGTCCATAAGCCCCACGTGCCGCGGACGGGCAGCCCGTCTTGGGTGTGACCGGCGTTGACGGCGAAGACGTCATCCTGGTACTCGGTGATGCCCAAGGCCGAATTGATGCTAGAGGAGTTGGAAAACTCGTAGACCAGCGCGGGTTCGCCAGTGTTCATGCTCACGGACCAGATCTGGCCGGTGTCGAAGCGAGTTATGAGGAGGTCGCCGTTCCTGCGCTCGGTAATGCACTCGAGCCATGCGGGAGTAGAAGGTTCCCAGACGACGCGGGCCGCTGGGAAGGAGCTGGGGTACGCAGAACTGGTGTGGAGGGTGAGGATTGATAAAAGGCCTGCGATGGCCCAGAAGGGAGTCTGCATCTTAGTAGAGAATGGCTGTGAAACCCCGTGAGGCTTTAATAAGGATAAAGGTCAGCCAAGTTTCCATCTTTAATGTACATAGTCACGAAAATACTGGTCTCCTTTATACACTCGACCTCCAAGGGATTTATATTCTATCTTGCACTACTCTTACCAACCCTTCCAAGCTTTTCCCCGGCCTATCCGACGGAGCGTAAGCAGCGGACCAAACTAGTCTACTAGAGGCTTTAGCAGGGCGCTAGAAAAATAGGCAGGCGGCGCACCGTACGAAGGACGCGGCCAAAAGTAATGTCAGTCCGACTGGTGATCTCGTCAGCCCACAAAAATACGCTACACCTGTCCGTCCCCTTGACGATACCCTGCGATTGCTGCCAAAAACCCAGCACAAGCCACATGTACCATATCAACAACTCGCTCACTTCCCGCGGCAAGTATCGGTGAATCAGCTGGACTTGACCCGTTCTCCGGAAGTCCTGTTGATACAGTGTCACGAAAACCATATCGCACCATGCGCAAATGTGTTTTGTGACCCGCCATTCACCGTATTCCACATCCGGATCCACATCGACTCCGTCGTCCGAGCCGGTAGCCCAGCGAGCATGTTCTTGATCATCCTTCTTACAACAAGTTGGCGGGCCATCGTCGTGAAAAAGTGGACAGGTTCCCTCGATCGGTCTCTCCTCTCTTGAGAAAGAAACTGGCGCCAAGGTGGCCCGTCCTGGATAGTGAATAAGCAACAGTGTTAAGCCAGAAAATTGCCTTCAACCCATTCGATATCTGATTGAGGAGCTCGACTTGGGCGTTTGCTACAGGTTTGGTTGTGTTCTTCGGCGTGGGAGTTGAAAGAGGTGACCGGTGGATGGATAAGAACCACGCTACAGCTTTAGGGAGATATTAGAGATCAATGTGTATTGGGATTTGGGAGTTGTACGGTTGGTAAGTGACTGGCCACTATAGCGTCTGATTCTTAGCCTTCGCTCTGTACTTATGCCTGTTAGGCGTTGGGTGCCCATTTGACGCAGTTGCAGTCTTAGTAAACATGGCCAAGAAGCCCGAACGGCCTCCTACTAATCCACCTTTGCCCCATACCTTCCCATCCAGTGTGGCTTCATAAGTAATACCCAGGACCTGAACAATAGCCATCCGGTCATTGGCACAGCCATATAATACATCAATGCCGAAGAACGCAGGCCGCTACCATCCTCGCCTGCAACCCACGCTTGCCATAGTACAAGTACAATCCACATCGCTTCTAGCACGGCCAACAAAATGTACACAATCCGCCTTGCTTCAATGGCTCCTGGCTTGTTGGGAATTGCAAGCAACATCACGACCGTTATGGCCAACATGGGTGTGCCGAGCCACTGCATAAGGGAAGAGGCTTCAGCAGAAGGCCACGCGCCAGCATTCGTGGTGGATTCGGGTAAAAAGTGGCGTCGCAGGGTTGAATTTGGAGAAAATATGTACGGTAGTCCGAAGAAAAATATGTTTAGAATGGATTCGCCAGCCAGCGCCACTCTCATGATCGTGCCCGGGTATGTTGGATCAATTTCCATGGCCAATGATGCCAGTGACGTATTCGCAACTTTGGATGTCTCATTTCTCGCCATTTTATGTCGGCATTGGCTTCGTTGAGTCAGAGTCGAAGTCGGCGTGTGAAGGCATAGTTTTGGCTTTGCAGTTTCTTCTAGGAACTTCGTTTCTGATTAAATATAGCTTAGAAGTTTAGTCTAGCTTAGAAATCAGGCTTAGGAATCAGGCTTAGAAATCAGGCTTAGAAATCTTGCAATCGTGCGGAACGATTATGCCGCGAGTAGTCGGGTGCTGAAGAACGAGTTCGGACAGGACCTGGTCTCCGCCAGCGACGTGCCAATGGGCCCGGACGCCGAAACCCCGCGCGAGCTGTCCGAATCCGAGATCTACCAGTTATTCAGGAATACGCCACAGCCGCGAAGAACGCTGTCAACCTGGCGGGCTTTGACGGGGTCGAGATCCACGGCGCCAACGGCTACCTGGTGGATCAGTTCACCCAGGACACTAGCAATAAGCGCACCGACGCCTGGGGTGGCTCGATCAAGAACCGGTCCCGGTTCGCCCTCGAAGTGACAAAGGCCGTCGTAGACGCCGTGGGCACGGACCGCGTGGGCATCCGGCTCAGTTCATTCAGCCCGTGCCAGGGCATGAAGATGGCGGACCCGGTCCCGCAGTTTAGCTACCTTGTCGAGAAGCTAAAGGAGCATTCCCTAGGATTCCTGCACCTGGTGGAGAGCCGGATTAGCGGCAATGTAGACATCGAAGCTACCGAAAAACTCGACTTCGCCGTCAAGATATGGGGCCGCACGAGCCCGATCGTGCTGGCCGGCGGTTTCAAGCCGGACTCGGCCAAGATGGCCGTCGACCAGGAGCATAAAGACTACGACATCATCATCGCTTTTGGTCGTTACTTCATCGCCAACCCGGACCTGCCCTTTCCGGATCCAGAAGGGGATTCTGCTCACCCCGTACGACCGCACGACCTTCTACACAGCTAAGCTGCCAGAAGATTATCTAGATTATCCATTCAGCAAGCAGTATTTGGAAACTCAAAGGAGCTAATATGGAGTTGCATCTATAGTAGTTGTATACTCTTTATCATACATCGATAAATCTATGCAGGCTTTTTAGTATGGGGAGGGGGGTGTGAGGGCGGGTTCTAACGATCAGGTCGACACTAATGCAGACGGATGACAACACGGGCAATCTTTTCCTGTCGTCTCGCGGAGATACTTGGGGCTCGCGGGATGATCGGCCGATTGTGTCCCACTTAGTGTGGAAGTTTATGCAGCTGTCATCAACATGCATTAGCGGCGAACCCCCTATTCTCCCTCCCCGTGCCGCCGAGTTGTGGGGTGCTTATGTGACTCACACGATAAGAGAGTGGTGAATAGAGAAGCTTGGTTTGTTTCTCCGTAACTGACTAAAAGACAGAAGAAAAAGGAAAAAGGGTCGAGACGAGTCGCCGCAGGCGCATAAGGAATTGGGCTTATCTGCGGAACTATCCGAGATGGCGCCGATACAACGAAAAATAGTCGACTGTAAGTATCAATTGCTACAGATTCTGTGGATGAATCAAATTTCAAATCGTTTCTCCCCCCACTATATCGGCCGCCAAACTCCATAAACTGCGCAACCATCAAAAGCAAGAGCTAGACCTAGTGCACTAACGAAATGATAATGGGATGCACCTTCAATCTACGATGTGTAATATACCTATATTGTCTACAAATTCATGATTGCTACAGGCATATATGCCATCTCCTCACGACTTGTCCCCTGCGCTAGGTCTGGCTTTCCATTGCTAAAGATTCTGCATCCTAGAAACCCCCGTAGCTGCTATGTCGACTCCCAGACTTGCTTCAGAAACTTTTCCAAGCTAGTAAACTTGTAGTCAGGCAGAAGCTGGTTCCACTCCTCTGTCGTCTCCCAGGCCCCTCCAGTGACCGCGACCAAAGTGCCTGTCACGACGGCCGTTTGGAACGCCTCCTGTTGTTCCATTGGAACATGTGCCAGAACCTGCTCATCCAGCGGTGGAAGCCAGCTCACTTTGACGCTGCCCACCTGAGCGTCCTTCTTGACCCACTCGATGTCAAAGGGCCTGCCTGCAAAATGCACGTGTTAATTTGCAATGCAACACAATCCTGTTTTAACATGCTCTCAATGATGTGTCAACATCCTTTTACTTACCTCGTATCTTCTCCCCTAGCTCTAGGAGCTGTGCAACAGTGACCTGGCTTCCTACAACCCCCCCAACTCTCGGCCACTCACCCTCGTACTCTACCGCACGGGCAACAACCCCAACGATGTCCTCAACAGCTGTGTAGGCTATCTTTGCGTCTAGGCTTTGTTCACCCACAATCGCGCGCATTCCATCAAAGTCGAACAAGAGTGGAAAGACCGTAATGTGCTTCGTTGTCTGGCGGGGATATCCAAGGTAGTTCATAAATAGTCCTGGATGGAATAAAGTGTACTCTAGAACCTGTAGTACCTGTTAGCAAGTGCGGGACGAACAGCTTTGAGAGGATTGAGATATAGAAGGAATAAAATCACTTGCTTTCTCTTTCTGATTTAATTCTTGTAAGTACATGCGGACATCGAGTTTGCTGGAGTACCAAGGGACTGCATCGCGGACGTTTTCAAGTTTGCTACCGCTGTTTTCGCCATTAGCTAATCTTCAGCAACAACGTGCAAGTTCTAGTAGAGGTATTACATAGACCATTCACTTGCAGCGTATCGTTCAACGCCCGCTTCAATAGCGGCATCAATTAGACGCTTCTGACTGACTCCGCCTGGGTCTTTGTGTGAGATGAAGAAGCATAGAACTGTGTGCACGCCACGGAGAAGATGAACTAGCTGCGACTTATTTTCATAGTTGGTCTGTGCCCAGCGAACCCCTCGGGGTTTTGGAAGTAACTTGGGGTCCTACATGAGTTCTTTGCTTCAGCTTCACTGCTTGCCAGGATTCTGACGTCAAGGCACGCACCTTTCTGACCAACCCGATAATCTCGTGTTTGCCAGTTTCAGCAAGTCCGTCTAGGATCTCCCTAGCCAGCTCTGAAAGAATAAAACGCTAATCAGTAACTGGGGCAAATGTTTTCCGCCGTTGGGAAGGTGGCATACGTCCAGAAGCTCCCGCTATGGCAATTTTGACCATGATAAATTCTGAGTGGATATAGTTGGAAAGACGGCGGGCCAATAAAATGTGAGGTCTATCGCTCACAGCTGACACAACAGAGTTGGACTAGTATATATCTAACTGGGAAGACAGCATTAAACGCAATGGCGTATTATAACGTTGGAGTATGAAGAATCTTGACGTTGCATGCATTAGTGATTTCACTGATTTGTAATGGAAGGATCTGCGGAGTTTTGCAAGTCACCGATCGTAGCTGCGGAGTTTGAGGTTGCATTGGTTATGGAGACAGCGGGGTTCCTTATACATGCAATAAGATACCGCGACTCGTATGTATGTACATTTGATTTAATAGTCTAGACCATTAAATCGTGCGCCAAGCCTTACTCATGATAGTACTAGTCCGAGACTAGGTAGTAGGCCCGAACGCCCACTACTCCCGTTCACTACCTCGGGTCCTAGGCATGGAATTTGTCAAGGGCTCAAGTCACGGAACCTGGGGGTACATTGAGGAAGAGGGCGGATTTTGGTGATGACGGCACAGAAGGGGTGCGCCATTTGTTTACTTGATCAACCGGAACGGAATTAGTATGTGAAATCCGGCTCCGTAGACTCCTTCCAGAGTATGCACGCCCTATAAGGGGTGCCCGGCTTAGGAGCCCTTGTACTGAATCAAGTCTCTACATTTGGCGCACCTGTGGTCTTTACAGAATATCCTGAGTTCGCAGTACTAAATTAGCTACCCTAAGCCGATATGTTCGATCCTTGTTGATCTTTACCAAAAAGCGTATACCTTAAGCAGTAACCAAAGACTTAACAGATAAATATGTTTGGCTTAAATTGCAGTGACTGTCGCACAGTGTTTGTCTAGATAATAGTGCTGATGTCTAATTTCATACAATACACCTGCTTTTCAAACCATCAGCATTCCTGCATTAGAGTGTATCACAGAACCTGACAAATTATGGTCCTTCATACAGTACAAGAATGCCTCTGCAACATCTTCAGCTTTTCCTACCGCTCCTGTCACAACCTTCTGAGAGATAGCATCTAGAACTGCCTTACGCTCGTCAGGCTTAGGATAGAAGCGGGTCATTAGATCTGTGTCAACTGGGCCAAGGCAAACGAGGTTAACACGCAGCGGCTTTAACTCCACCGCTAGACTTCTCGTCATACCCTCTGAAGACGAGGTGTATGCACCAATTGCATTCCAATTCGGGTATGGCCTATACGCACTAATGCCGGACGTCAACGTGAAACTAGACGTGGCCCCTGGCGCAATATGCTTTGCGGCATATTTTGCTATCAACAGAGGAGCGAAAAACCGTACCAGCCCGGCTTCTTTAATGAAGTTGAAATCTATCTCGGATATGGGTCTCGGAATGGGGTCATCGCCTGCAGTAAAGACGATGTGGTCGAGTTTCTCACTTCCGTTCGAGGTCGAAGCGTCGAAAAGAGCCGCGATATTGGGCTCGAGTAGCTCCTCTTGCTTCAGGTCGCATGGAAAGCCCAAGATGCTGCAACTTGTTGTTGGATAGGACTTCCGCAAGTGCGATACTGCCGCGTTGATTCGATCGGCGTTCGAGCTCGAGATGACAATGGTAGCGGCGCCAAGTTCCACACTAGCTTCAGCGACTGCTAAGCCGATACCAGCAGTGCCTCCGATGATGAGAACACGTGTCCCGACAAGTTTGGATACGTATTTGCTATTTGCCGACATTTTGGAAGTGTATTCGACCGGTTGTTGAAAGACCATACAGGTCGAGAAAAGGTATAAGTGTGTTGAATAAAGGGTTCGGTTTGTCGTCTCGTACTGAAGGAAGAATGAGAATGAACGTACAGGAGCAATGGGAGACACTGATCGATTTATAAACCAGATCAGCTACTGAAAACAGACAACCCTTGTCTTAGACACCCCTCTTCGAGTATTAGACCCGGGCCCACTTGATGGTTTCGTGAGTTTCCATCGCATTCCATCTGGTACCCACAACTAAAAGAATCCGATGGTATTAGTCAGTCCTTTAGACAACGGACAGACGGCGGACGGATAACGGACGGACGGCGGACGATTAACAGACGACAAGTCAGCTACTAAACTCCGCAAGCTCCGCAAACCTGAAGTAAGATGTGGGGTGAAGCCATAGGCTCACAGGGTTTACGGCCAAAGCACAGTTTTACTGCTTGATTATTCGTCGGTCTTCTTGCGGCATAAAGAATACGGGTAGCATTTATCAGCCAACCCGAGGCGTCCACGCTCCGTAGCCCACAGTTGTGCGCGAATCGTTCATGCGCTTATCTTTACAGGAGAGGCAAACCGGTCGCGGTTTGCGCAAAACAGCCTTGAGGAACGAAGCTTGAAGTGGTCGATTTCAATTCTCAAAGCTTGACTTCAAAAGTCCAAGGTTTTATTAGATACAGGTTACGACTCTCGGGTATTGAGAACTAGATAAAGTAGCGGCTAATCAATGTGGCTTGCAGCAGGGCTAAAATGAGCGCTTGTCGAGGCACGCGAAAGGACGATTGTTTCAACTGTGATGTCGTCCCGTGTCTTACCCTGGATTGTCTCACTGAGGGAGTAATCAAGGATTGTAAAGGCTGGGAAAGGGAGAAATGAGGGGTTGCTGAGACATTCGACGGTAAAGAATGGATCTCATCGTCAAACAACAAGTCAAGACTTCTTAACCTTACACTTGAAATTTACATCTGTGACCTTTGTCTATTCTAATACGTCCTGGATCCATGTCCGCAGCCAGCCGCTCTTGTATTGCTAGGTTTGACCGACTCACATAACACTCCTCTCCAAAAACTGGCAAGGACCATCGTATGTATTACCCAAGGCCAAGTTTGTTCCAGTCTGGTTTTCAAATGCAAGACGAACCAGAGTTTCCTCTGTTGGCTCGTATTTCGGCCACCCGTCTTCATAAGCCAGCAGACCATGCGTTGGATCTTTGGCGAATGCGGCCCAAGCACCGCGCAGGTAGTCGCCAATGGCCACCTGTTCTAATGTGCTTGGCATGGGGCTCTGGGGCACCGTGTCGAAGAGAGGTTGAAGCTAGGGACCGTCAGCATAGATATTCTATCATCGTGCTTGCATGCTGCATCATATGAATGAAAGAGACATACCTCGGCGCCATGATACGCTCCGCTGGGCGGATCCGTCGAAACGGCCAAGTTCGGAAAATCTCCGAAGTAACGATACCTCCAGGACGGGTTGCCATCTCCGGTTGACCGTGTCAACCTCACGGCGTCCGCGCAGGTGTAGTATCGATCGTTGAAATCGACCCAATAGGCGTCGGTCTGGTTCGGCTGTAGTACTCGGAACGAGCCCGCCTCATTCTGGTTATTACCGATCAAATATCCTCCCCTGGCAGAGTGCCGAGAGCTGTAGTCCGCAAAGACGATGATATCATCAACCCCTGGCCCGAACGCAGGAACGGCACCAATGCCTGTATCCTCTGAAGAAAATGCGCTTATCAGTTCCTGAGCAGTCTTGCTCCTCATACATTCGGTGATAAGGTTCGGATCGGCAGTGCTGCCACCACAGCCTGCGGTTTTAGCAATCCTGAACCACCGTGACTCAGTTGCCTCACTGCTCAACGCCGGAAAACCGTCCACAGTGGCGCTCATGAGGATAAATCCATTTGCGATCGGGTCCGAGGCGTAGGAATACGAATAGAAATCCGCCATGCCAGCTCCTGCAGACTGGCCAAAGATGGTGATGCGATTCACATCACCCCCAAATGCTGCAGCATTGTTCCGGATCCAGTGCATAGCCAGCCGCATGTCGAGCAAGCCAAGGTTTGAGGCAGTAACTGGATTGCCCGGGAAGCCGAAAATACCAAGACGATAGCTTTGCGGGAGTCAGTGATGTTGTTTACCAAAAACAAAACCAGGGTGAAAGTACTTACTTGATCGATATAAGCACGACATCGGTCTGGTTAGCAATATACTCTCCATTGTAGCCAGGAGCTCTAGAGCTGCCTGCATAGCGACGGTTAGAAAATCATTTGCTACTATAACGGTTGTTGCTTACCGAAAGAATAGGCACCGCCATGAACCCACACAAGAATAGCCTTCTTTCTCTCTCCGACTTGAGGTTTCGTCCAGATATTGAGGGTCAAACAATCCTCACTTTGAGGAACCGAATTCTGGCCGCCGTCACCAGGTTGCACGCAGGCGAATCCCTGCGGTGTATACTCTAGTCAGCAACCATAACTGGGAAATAGGTGGAGGTACATAGCGATGCAAAGAAACGACAGGATGAACAGACAATACGGGAGGGCATACTGACAAAATCTGTGGCGTTGATTACGGATGACCCGTTGAATTCCACGGGAGGCTGGAATCGCAAGGGTCCGGTAGGAGGCGTAGCGTAAGGGATCCCTAGATACTCAGAGACCTCGACAGCATCTGCTGCTGCATGGCCAATGACATTGCCACTGGTTGAAGCAACGTTCTGGCCCACCGTCCAGGCGTCCTTGCAATTTTGTGTAAGAGATTTCGTGTTGACGAGAGTCGAAAAGCCAATGGTAGCCAGTAAAAATCCGCCCAGGGTAGGTTGGAGCTTCATTTTTAATGCGGGTTTAATAAGAAAGTGAAAGCATAAGACGAAAATCATGATTCCCAAAGGCCAGTCTGAGTTACTTTAATATACTGATATTTGGTACCTTGAGTCGGCAAGATGGCGCGCCGATTCGGAGATTATTCGTACCTTGATTTATGCCGGCATCCAGAAAATGCATGGGGTCCGATAACGCGGTCGGAGGTAGGAACTGCAAGTAGGCACTTCAAATAGAATGCTCAGGGGTAGCAGCATTACGTGGAGGTGGAACTTATTCTATCTTCTCAGAATTACTACTAGCGGACATGGGTGTCACATGTTGTTCCTGCAATACTGGAACTTTCCAACAAGCTAGCATCGGCAAGTAAGGGAAGACGCTCCCACACATTAGTACCAGCCGTAGTACTGGGCCGGCAAGTCCGTGGAGGCAAACAGTAGGGCCCCGATTGCCTGTCCCTACCAACTGACGTGCCTGTCCAGCGGCCCATCAAGTTCATCATGCTTCAACAAAAGGGTTGCTCGAAGGGAAAGAATAGTATATCCAAGGAATATAAAGTCGGGGAAAGAGTATCAAGAGGGCGCAGACATCGGTGGTTCTACAAACTTCAGAACCGCTAGTGTTCGCGCCGATGGACAAGGCTTGGGGAGAATGGTCGGAGAAAATGAAGGTTGATCCATGAGGAAGCAGAGCGTTGCGGTATTTGCTACCCTGCACGCTGATTTCGGCCCTTTTATCGATGAGGCACCAAGCCCTCCGCGTCGTGAGTCATGCCCTTGTTGTGTGGCCAGAATTAAGGCGGTCAATCCATCACCGTTCCGGCGTTTAACAGAGGTGGGACATGCCTACGATGGCCCCTTTTCCGGTGGCATAGTTACAGCTGCCCTCACAGGCAGCCTCCAAGTTCACCTTTACCTCCTTGTGAGAGCGTTGCTGTAAGTGTGAAGCTGTATTGATTGCTGTGAGCCTCTCAACGCTCCAAAAGGAGGAGAGTGGGACCGGACTTGCCGTCCTGAGCATTGACATCTGCTGGTGACGAATCATCGTCTTCCCTGCCCATGCAACCGAAAGCAGGCTGCATTAGCATTTGCCGAATTCAGGATTCGTATCGCTTACAGTGGGATGCGCATACAAGTGCCTGAAACGTGCACGACTAGCGTTGCTGCAAACGGCAGGCTAATGCAAGTGGATGACAGGTGCGTAAATAGCCGAGCAGGGGGTGGGGCATCATGATATCTGTCGATCTTGCTTTACCATTTGAGGCTAAGCCTCACATCGTGGTCAATCTACCGTTAACTCCGTCCTCCCCCGTCATGATGCACATGTCATCCGCCGGCATACAACCGCGCACTTGCCACTACCTTACGCACTCCCCCCTCCTTCACGCCTCTTCATCCATCTTTCTAATCATGATGACTGAACCCGCCTGTCCTGATCATCAGTTTGTTCTGCGGTCTGTGATCACCGGCAATAAGGGATGACTGGTCAGGTGTAGGCAGCGCTCCTAATAGTGTGGACCATTAAGCAGACTATTGGTCCACACTGTAGTTCACACCAATAGTCCATGGACTATTGGTTCAGTGCGCGTCTCCCGGACTACACTGACGGTTCAGTGCGGGCCTCTCGCAATGCACTGACGGTTTAGTGTTACTCGACCAGACTGACTGTAGTCCAGTGCGAGGGCCGCAGACTAATAGTAGCACTATTAGTGCGCCCGAGTCCTCCCAAGTTTGTGGCCCGCTGCGGAGTACCCAGCCAGGGCGTATGCGATCCAATGTGTGCGGCCAAAGACGGCGCTAAGGAATGTTAATAAATACAGCCAGTGTACTGTGTTTGTCTATTGTGACATAAGTATCGCGCAACTGAAACCATACGTCCTAACAAAACTTACATATTCAACAGCAACCTAATTTTATAGCTTTGGGATGGGCCATCTAGCTAATTGCCAAGAAGCATATACTGCCTGAGAGACGATTAAGTGTATATTATCCCAGCGGCGAGCCTCAAGCCAACGAGTTAAGAGATACCAACCCTGCCACTACAGATAGGCGGGGTATCAGGTAACTTCTATACAATACCTGTAGGGTAGGTTGGGCTGGTATGGCATGGTCCTGAGCGAAGCTGTTGAGATGCCAATCACACTAGTCTCTTTGAGAATCACAGTCAAACAAGTGAGATTGTAATCACTGACTTGCTCAGAGCTTCTGTTTGGTATCGGTTCCATCATAATCTGAGATATAATGGCAGATTGTTGTGTCCGGTCGTCAATCGCGCTGCTAGTTCACACAAATTTATTTATCGATGTACAACCCTTGATGTGAAATCTGGAACCCATTGAGTCGGCAATAACGATTCAGCCACGAGAGCCCAGATGAAACACGGTGACCATCATGCTACAGAACAAGAGCAGTCTGAGAATCCAAATTTTCCTTAACATCCTGGGTCCAACTCGATACGTACATATTGGAGGCCCCTCACTGCAGCTAAAGTTATAGCTCACAGTGTATTCATATCTTGATAACAACCTTGCCTATGTGCTTTCCCGAGTAGAGGTAGTTGAAGGCATCCTTAGACTCATGGAATGAGAAGACACGGTCAACAATTGGGCTGATGGAGACCTTCTTCTCTTCTAAAAATTGGCAGAGATTCTGGAAATCCCTCTTCGAGCCTGCCATAATTCCCCTGTTGCCATGTCAGCTAGTCATCGACTGCAGGAACTTGCTTGAAGCCAGTAGAGAAAATGACCTACTTCAATTTGGCGCTCTTACCCATCAGTGCCATGATGGCTGATGGCTCCCACTCTGCTGCGTAGCCCGCCAAGAAGCCTACAAGAGAGACAGTACCACCTCTCTTACGTAGGACTCCGATATCGTGTGGGATAGACTCAGGTCCTGAGTTATTGATGACGAAGTCAACACCCCTACCGTTTGTAAGGCGTTGAACTTCTGCTGCTTGATCGGGTGTAGTCTTGTAGTTGATACCCTCGACTCGTGATCCCAGCTTCTTAATGCTTTCGATCTTCGCGTCGGAAGAGGACGTGATTATCGACTGAAGACCAGCAGCTTCGCAGAGTAAAACTGCGAACATGCTTACACCGCCAGTGCCTGTCTCGAGTCAGCAAGATTCGTCTTATCAATAGCGCTTGTCATCCAACCTTGTAAGAGCGCGCTGCCGGTTCTAGACGATTCAGGCAGTGCGTCTAGGGCAGTCCAAGCCGTAAGCCCAGCGCAAGCCAACGTGGAGCCCTAATTGAGATTTTAAATTGATACGGCATCATATAGGTTGAGTTGGGATGTATACTAACCTCCTCCCATGATAGATACTCGGGAATCTTGACTAAATACCTGTCTTCATAGACAGCATATTCACGGAGAACACCAGCAGTATCCCCACCAAGGGCGTTGATTGATGTGTCGTCATTCCCTGTGAGATTACCGAGGTCACATATCGGTGAGACATGGTCCCCAACAGAGATGCCTTCGACAGCTGGCCCCGTCTTCACTACCTCGGCGGCACAGTCCGAGCATGGTATACCGCGATCCTCGACCTCAACCGGGTACCTCCCATGTAACATGCCCACATCACGGAAATTGAGGGAGACAGCATGGATTTTGATGAGCACCTCATGGGAGCTGAGATCCACTTGAAGCATTTCTGTGGACGGCTCAATAGTTCGAGGGAGTCCGCCCGCAGTGCGCCTGAAGGCCGCATATATTGCGGGGAACGACATGATGGTTAGGCTCGTGGTAGGAGGCAAATTTAGTGAAGGTGATACAATGGATGTTGCGAGGACTTGTTTCCAGCTGGGCCAAATATTTATATACAATAAGTGCCGCTTAAAGATATCAATTTTGCATTTGTAATTACATGTCCTCATAATTACGCCAAAGACCTCGATTGAGTATGATATATAAGCATTACAATAGCAACTCCGCAAGCGGACTTGCGGGGTTTCGACATCAAATCCTAACCTGTCTGAGCCAGGCTGAAGTGCAAGCATTTAAACGCGGCTTAAAACGATTATGGCGGTAAATGATCAAGCCATTCAATTGGAGGGACATCAACACAGTAGCAGCTTTCCTACATTATCTCGTATGGCCTTGGACCTTCTTGCTGTGCCGGCGGAAGCAGCGGATGTAGAACGCCTATTTACTAGGGCAAAGTTGTTACTATCAGAGCAAGAGTAAAGTTTGCAGGATTTGATGCTTGAGATGCAACTGTGTATGCATAGCTGGTCACGCAATAGAAGGAACAATGCTGCCCATTATGATGGCCTTATCTAATAATATTAGCCTACCAATTAGCCAAATAAACAAGCAAATTAAACAAGACGCTCCATCATTCTTCAACTACCGATTGAGCCCACCGGTCGGTGGGTGAGTGGGTGGTCTATCCGGCCGGATGCCCTAGCGGGTAGGCCCCTGTCACCAACACAAGGCCGGACATATCACGGGTCGCTAACTCCGTGTTAGGCGGTGAGTGAAGCATTGTCACAATCGAGAAATGAACAACTTCGACCACTCCAGTCCAACCGTGACTGTATGTCCTCGAAGGCCTTGGCAATCCTCCCGTTCGAGTTGTGAGGAGACGGGACATGTCCCCGTAGCAATCGTGAATTCGCGGACGATATAGGTGTGTTGCACATTGCAGATTGAAGCTGCATCCCATTATCATTTCGTCGGTGCACCAGGTCCAACTCCTACTTTTAATTGTTGCGCAGTTTACGGAGTTTGGGGACCGACATGAGGGGGGGGTTAAGAAACGATTCAAGATCCGACTCGTCCACAGCATCTGTAGTAATTAACACTCGCAGTCGACAATACTTCGTTGCAACAGCGCCATCCCGAATAGTTCCGCAGATAAGCCCTACTCCTTCTCCGTCGACGATGACTCGTCTTGACCCCTTTCCTTTGTTTCTTCCACTGTCCTTTGGTTAGTTCCTCCGTAACTAACCAAGTTTCTCTACTCACCGTTCTTTTACTGTATCATGGGGCCCACAAATCAGCGGAAAGGGAAAAGGGGGATAGGGTTTAGCCGTGAATGCATGTTGATGACAGCTGCATAAGCTTCCACTAAGCGGGACACAGCGGACTGATCATCCCGTGAGGCCCGGCATCTCCGCAAGATAACGGGAAAAGATTGCCATTGGTATCTGCCCGTTTTTTCAATCCTTAAGAACCATCTGCCGCTGTCATCAATCTGCAGCAGTGGCGACCTGATTGTTATAACTCTGATTAATCCTCGTACGAGTTGCCGTCTCAACCCTGAGCCGAACACAGCATGGCTGACTTCAGTAATGCCGGCCCACCACGGGCCAGTGTCACGAATCGGTGGGTCAGGGACGAGGACGATTGGTCGGGTATCTCGGATACGAGAGAGAAGGAAGATCCAAATCTGTGTGTCGTTATAGGCCTATTTTACTGTAAATGCGGAAAGGCCCATTAGTGCGTCGTCCACGCTGAAGCCCTGAACAGTCACAGCTGGACTTAAACCCACGTAGAACATGTAGAACGAACACTTGGAAGACATAGCTGCTTACGGAAGCTGCTAAGTGTCGATGTTTCGCTTTGAAGGATTTAGCAAAACGTAAATGGCATCCCCTCACTTGACACAAGGAACAGTGTGCTAAAACTCCCGGCGAGAACTTGATTTCTAATCATTAGTAATCTTTTCATCCGATTCCAGCAGAAGTCTATCTTTGGATTACTCAAATCTGCACTACACGGACGAATCTTAGGTCCGCTCGGTCTTGATTATTAATAAAGGGCCGTCTAATGTATAGGACTATTGGTTAATCGATGGGCTCCTGTTTATATTCCTCCAAGGGTTGCCGAAATTCGAGGAGGAAATGTTCTGACATCTACTCCTCCTGGTTATTCTGCCCAGTTCATTTTGACTAGACATGGTGACGTCACATAACCAAAGGGCTCTTGTTCTGGAAGCAAGAGGCCAGCCTCTCAGCCTCGCAGATGTGCCTATCCCGGACGTTTGCCCAGGCTCTGCAATTGTCAAAGTACTTATCACCAATATTGGCTCTTTAACTCGCCGAATCCTTACCGGGTAGATACCTGTACCCCTTGAACCACCTGTGGTTCCCTGCGCCCAAACTATCGGACGCATACACGAACTTGGACCGGACGGTACTTCTCTTGATATCGGACAGTTGGTCTTCGTTGACCTTTTCACTCGCTCCCGGGATAACCCCGACGATGCAATTCTACAGGGCTATGTTGGCGGCTCTGCTGCCAGTATGAAACTGATGGACGCATGGAAAGATGGGATGTTTGCACAGTATGCCAGGATGCCTCGGGAAAACATTGCCCCTCTCAACGAGGAGCTACTAGTAACGCAGATGGGATACACGTTTGCAGACTTGTCCTTGCTTGGACCAGCGGCCATCGCTATGGGTGGGCTCTGTGAGGTCGATGTACAGGCTGGGGACAGTGTTATTGTTGCTCCTGCTACTGGTTTATACGGCGGTTCTTGTGTGCAAGTCGCGTTAGCTATGGGGGCGCGAGTCGTTGCCGCGAGCCGCAATGACAGCCTCCTGACAAAGATGGCATCAACTTTCGAATCAACGGGCCGCCTAACAGCTGTAAAGCTGACTGGCAACCTCGAGATTGATACTGCAGCCTTGAAAAAGGCCACCGGTTCAGTTAGGGGTGCTGATGTATTTGTTGATTAGTCTCCACTGGCGTCGGGCAAAAGTACACACTTTCAGGCGGGCTTAGGCGCCCTCAGGCCTTTTGGACGGTGCGCGCCCCTCGGTGGAGCCGAGGGAAATGTAGAAATTCCCTATCTGCATGTTATGTGGAATAGTATTCGTCTTCAGGGCAGATACATGTTTGACAGGAAACACACCCTCCAACTCATCAAAGTGCTCGAAAGCGGACAACTGAAACTGGGATCAGGGGACGGGAGTGGTGTTAAGGTTCGGAGTTTTAAGATTGAAGAGGTTGAAGAGGCTATGGACACGGCGGAAAGAGAACTGCGGTGAGGTGATCAGGTTGTCTTAGATATAGGACAATGATCAGAGCAATGAAGACCCTCCTTGGAGCCATGGCTATCAGAGTAGAGCATTTAACCTTATCTATGTCTTGATTGTGGCGACTACGGTACTATGTGATGCAGCTATATTCGCTTGTCAAGCCCGCCATGTCGTCAATTCTCTGTTAACCCTGGCTAACCCTACCTAAACCTTAGAGATGTTCCACTCGAACAACTCCTGACTGCTGAGCAGGCAGCGACGATAGGGAACAACCGTGGTTAACGTCAGGCAACTGCGAGCTCTAGAAAAGCCCCCTTGGCAGGTCATGCTGACTACCAAACGGTAGGCCAGGCTTCATCCCGTGCCTCATCCTCGCTTATGTTCCACTTGAACATCGTATCTGTCACCTCATCCTCGCACTCCAAATACAACTGGTAAAAAACCAACATCCGCGCCACCTTGAGAATAGCTGAGTACACCGGCGTGTAATCCACGGCATCAATCCACCTACCATCCTCCCTAATCCCCATCACCGCTAGCCCGCTGATGATAATGCTGTCATCATTGCTCTGTTTAAACGGTTGATTCAACAATCCAATCACCATGTCCAAACACGACCGTTCCAAACCCTCCTCTGCTAGGCGCCTTTCGTAACCAGCTTGAACATCCGCTGCTTCCTCAAACACGTCCTATAACTTTTCCTGCCGCACGTTCGACCTATATGGCGGCCTATGATCATCGTCCCAATCCTGCGTTCGGTACCACACACACAACGTCTTCGGACTACCATACATATTTTCTCCGCAGTCGACCCTGCGACGCCAGTTCTTATAAGCGTCCACCACCGATACTGACGCTCTGTTCGCGTTGCCTTCTGCTGAGGCCTCTTCCCTTATGCAGTGGCTAGGTACGCCCATGTTAGCCATAACGGTCGTGATGCTAGCATTTCCGAACAGGCCAGGAGTCATTGAAGCAAGGCGGATTGTGTATATTTTGTTAGCTGTGCTAGAAGCCACGTGGGCTTTCCTTATACTGTGGTAAGCGTGGGTTATAGGCGAGGATGGTAGTGGCCTGTTGTCTTCAGTATTAATATATTATATGGCTATACTAATAGCTAAATAATTATTATTTAGGTTCTAGTTATTAATTATAAAGTCATACTAGATGGGAAGGTATAGGATAAAGGCGTATTAGTTAAAGATTATTTGGGCTTCTTAATTAAATACTCGTATTATATTAAATGTGCGGCTAATACTTAATAGACAGAAGTGCAGAGCAAAAGTGAAGAAGCAGACAATATAGTGGTCAGTCACATGTCAGCCGTACAACTCTCTAATCCGAATACGAATCAATCTCCAATATCTTCCTGAAGCTGTAGCGTGGTTATTGTCTATCCACCGCTCAGTCAGACGCGTAAAGGCATCAAAGGCACCTCTTTCAACTCCCACGGCGAGGAGCACAACCCAACCTGTCTAGCAAACGCCCAAGTTGGGCTCCTTGACCAGATATTGAGTGGGTTGACGATCCTATCCTCAATGCCACTACGGCCTAGCTAACTCCAAATCCCAAATCACCCGTAGTACGGGCGATTTGCAATCCTATCCAAATTACCGCGCTAATAAAGATAGGGGGTAGGGGGGATTTGGGTTATAGGCATACTTGGGCATTGTAGAGTAGAGGGAGCTCTACCTACTTCTCTACCCTACCCAGGTAGAGGAGTGGTCTCCTCTACCCTACCCGGGTAGAGTGGGTAGAGAGTGGGTAGATTGGTAGCTAGATAACAGGGTAGGTAGGGAAGGTAGATGCTGTATATATACTTAATTCTTCGAAATATGCCTGTTTATATAATACATTCCAATCCTCCTTATCGAAATTAATATCCATCTTATCATCTATCTCTACAGCTTCTATAATTATCGCTAGCAGCTCCTTCAAAGACATAAGCTTCCTCGCAAACCAGTTGCCCATATACTCTAACATCTGAAGATTCTCTAGCAATAACCTAAGCCTATCCCAGCTCTGTGTACGGCATGCGCCTGAGAATTGTTATTCTGGTTCAGCGGAGAAGGGTGCAATTAAGAGGATATTAATGGCTATACGGTGGAGATAAGGATAGTATAGGTATTACTCTGGAACTAACTATTACTGAAGAGGAGTTATCTTTAGAATATTAAAATCGATAGTTACCTCTACCCTACCGGGTAGAGTGGGTAGAGCTCCCTCTACAATGCCCAAGTATGGTTATAGGCCTCTAAAATAGATAAAATCGGTATATTATGGAAACAAAGAGTTAGGAGATATCGCCCGTGAGAGTCATATGCGATTAAATTTATTTTGCGGTATTGCGATCTATGTTGTCAGAAGTGGGTTAATCTCGACACGCGACGGTGTGGTTGATAGGCCCAGAAGTATCAAGGGTTACAAGCCACATATAAGTCGGCAACATCAAATGTTTATTAAGAGTACGAGAGAGATTAAGAGGTAGTAGGAAAAGAAAAGAAAGGGATAGGTTTGCCAATTGTTTATTTGACCGTGATATCCGGTAATACCATAAGGAAATGGCAGATCCATTTCACATCAGCAGTTCCTAATACCATAGGTCTATTTATTTATTTACCGGTTCGCGTTGCCTCCGAGGTATTGTAACGAGTCGATAAAACAAGAAAACATATCGACGAGCTACTCCCCAATTCGCTTTGTATTGATACTGGTAAATGGTGTTAAGTCCGTTATAAGTACGGCGTCATCATGCCTCATCAGAATGGTTTATGAGGGAAGACGAAACAGCGGCTTTTCGCCTCGCTGGGCGCGCCACTTATTAGTGGAACGGAGAAGGCCCCAACATCCAGTAATAGTCCAGCCCCAGGTTCTGACAAAGGCTTCTGTTACTTCCCAACTGCTTGGATCCCAAGGTTCACGCCAAACAAGCATGCCTGGCTCGTGACCTGGAATACGTCCGCGGAGGGCATGGCAGAACTCCTCCTTATCAAAGCAATCTAAGCCTCGTCGGAACAGATTGTCACGCATCTCAGGCACAGGGAGCACATCAATCCATGGGTGATGCAATGTGGCGCATTGAAGATCCGTTGGTCGTAGCCCGTCTGGAAGTCGTGCCACAAGTGCTGTTGAGGTACTGGGTTGATGAGAGTCCGGCAAATTAAACGGCGATAGAATGTCGTCGTCCATCTGCTCGGACGAGAGACCCAAGACGTCGATGTTGGCCAGCAAAGCTCGGATAAAGTTAAAGTGGGATAAGATTGGTAAGATTGTAAGTTGTGGAGTATGCGTCATGTAGAGCTGATGCGCAAACGCCTCGAAACGTTGGAGGATTATCCGATTATGCTCTGATCTGGCTTCAAGAATATTGAGTCTCCCAACAGCGACCATAACGGCTCTCATATCAGAGACCTCGTACCTCCAATGTGCCGGAGGGTTTGAAGTTTGGGGGGCCGGAACAAGCTGTTGGCCTTCCGCACCGTCACCGCCACTAGGGCCAAGTTCCCTTCGTCTCCTTGACCCTACCGAGCGTTAGCAAGCCTAAAATAAGCCTAGGTCAACTATCATGCCATACTGAGGATTCGCTGGTTACGGCGATTTTGGATCCTCCTTCTCTCTCTCGTATCCGATATACCCGACCAGTCGTCCTCGTGCCTGACCCATCTATCCGCGATGCTGTCTTGTTGTAGACCAGCATTACTGGAGTCGGCCATAATTGACGGTACAGGGTTGTGACGGTGACTCGTGAGAGGATTAATCAAAGTTACAATGATCAGGTCGATGCTAATGCAGATTGATGACAGCGGCAGATGGTTCTTCAGGGTTGATGACAGGAGCAATCATTTATTATCGTTTCACGGAGTCACCGCCCGGAGCGGGTTAATCGGCCGATCTTACCCCCACTTAGTACTAGCTTATCTTATGCAGCTGTCAGCAACCTGCATTAGCGGTAATTACCTCTTCTCCATCCCCGGATTCGCCGAGTTGTGGGGTGCTTCCATGCTAAGAAGGCGGTGAATAGAGAAGCTTGGTTCGTTTTACTGTAACTGATTAAAGGACAGACGAAGAAAATTATTATAGGGGCATAGACACGTCACCGCAGGTACATAAGGAACTCAGCTTATCTGCCAAACTATCGGGACACCCCCCCCCCCGGGGGGGCACCATTGATAATCCTTATTCTTCTTCGGTAACGGGCAACTGATACACTGGCGCCCAGGCGCCAATTTTATTCTGGCGCCTGGGCGCGAAAAATGACTAAGCCAGAAACCGGTACATGGCTTACGACAGGACTTTGAGGAGCAGATACAGAGAGCAATTGCCGAGCTGATCGCAAGGAAAGAAAAAAGAAAGACATATCGCCGTATCCAAACCATGTATACAGCAAAGGTCTCGCTGCCTACTCTTCTTACCCAGTGAGTACCTCACACAGGTAGGGCTATGAGTATGAATCTGTGTGGCAGTCGCGCAGAACTTGGCTTCCTCGTCAAACGGGGCGGCGAATTGTTTGCTATTGCGCAGCAGCGAGGAGATGTCCGACGTCACCGACCTCTCCCCCTAAACGGCGCAGGATCTCTCTTGGTCCAGATCCTGCTTAAGACGTCAGCTCAACGTGGCTTCCTCGAACGGAGATGTGTGAACGCCAGGGCCACCCATACCTCTGAGAACACACTGTCAACACATTGGATGATCCGCTCCTGATAGGCCATCTCGCTCTCGTTTTGGACGTCCGCAAATACCAAGCCCAGATGCATGTTCCCATGCAGCCAAAGCAGCCCGTGCACATGGAGTGCCCCGCGCTCGTTGGTCTCCACTCTCCACGGCACCGAAGTACTGGCTGACGCGCCCAAATACAGACTACTTTCCAGCTTTCACATAAGTTAGTGCTCGAAGAATAACGTCATCTCCCGGTGGAAAAATATGGCCTAACTCATGGGATCCGATATAGCCAGCCGTGTACGCTTATATGCTATGTCAAGGCTTCGCAAGAAGACACTGGCTTCTTCAGGGTCACGGGTCCGGTATGCCGCTAGCCGTAGCTTTACCGGGTTCGTGATGTCGTTCGTGTTCAGCGTGAACCAAATGGCCGGCATACCGTGCTGAATTATTAACGATTTGATCTTTTGCCGCATGCTCAAGCGAAGTTTTCTGGATATTGGCTGCCGAAAGCCGTATAGGGAAAGGCTCCTTAGAGGTTCCTTTACGCCGTCATTGGCCGTCTTGCCTGAGCTCTCAAGTTCGATCTTAGCAGCCTCCAACCTCTCTGTACTTAGCGAGCGTACAATAAGCTTTATTTTTCGAAAGCTCTTCCTCATTACGTTTAACATACTCACACAACGGTTCCTCGACCTCACTCCCAGGTTGAATACAAGAAAAGCGAAAATGTAATGGGTTGGAAACCGCCCGCCATAACGTCGCAGCACTACACCAGCCCATATTCGGAGGCTTATGTTCCGGGACGAACAGAGGTTACTTGCCGCCGCCTCTACTCCACCACCATCGACATTTGCGTCCCTAGCGATGCCTAAGATAGCCTCTTCGATCAATCGAGAACCACCAACGCCGAAAGGAAACAGTGTGGGGAATGTCTTTGCGAAGAACGAAGTATTAAAAGAGTCGGCATATTCATCGCCCTGACAAATATGGATGTACGGCTTAACGGCTTCTCTTCGCCGCCCATATGCCGATCCTACCCACGTTCTTAGCCCTACTTAGTCGCCGGGTGAATATACCCCCACGGCATCGCAGACGAATTGCAGCTTCTCTGCGTCTGCCACATCTGGCGGGCCATCCAGCGCAAACATGCCGGATGAAGTAACCTCATTGATCGGATTGGTAGAGTAGTCGGGCGCCACCTCGCTTCTACCCTCTTCTCCATCTACTTCATTCTAACCCGGCTCTCGACGCTGTCCACCTAGTGCGTCTTCCCCTTGATTGAGCACTGCTAAGACCTCCCCGATCTACATAGATCCGTCGTCATCTATCCCACGCTCCGTGGGCGGAACTGTTGAGACCGTATGACTAAGATGGTCTGATCTGCTGGCGGCAGAGATGTGGATACTATGTAATGAGCTGTGCTCCTCACAGACACATGTAACTTATGTTGTTGGATTGCGCAGGAATGCTGAGTGCACTTGATGAGAAAGTAGTTCTTATTGTTATTGTTCTTCTTGCAATTAAAGGACCTTTAAGACCTTATATCTTCGAGTGGTCCATTCTAGGACTTGAGTCCTAGAAAGTCCTACGATCTAAGTTTTAGGACTTCAAACCTTAACTTTAATCCTGAAGTTGAGGGGGAATCCTCAGTTCTTCCAACAACTTAGACCTTTTCAACATGACCTGCAACCTTTTCGTTTTATAAGGAACGACCTGAGCTGTCCGCGTCTTTTCCCATGCCGACGGTTCGTTTCGCTCCATGCGCTCGTATACCTGCGAGGGCACACATGGAGAGACCAGCCCCAGCTATCCATCTCGGCCACATCGATCTCTATGTCCGCATAATGAGGATTATTTTTCTTCAGCCAGACTAAAGCCCCTTCAACAACTCGGCGCCGCACAGAAAAGAGTGCCGATAGATCACTTGGTGCCGGTTTCTCTGCGCCGTGCCACGACACATGGATTTCCTCCATAACTGTCACGAGTGGATGAGGCAAGACCTTCGTGACCAGCTCTTGCACATTATTTGGAAATACCGTGATATGCCCCTTAATATGCCTCGGGTACTCCACGCCCTGTCATTTCCCATCCGGGATACTGTACCTCGTGATGAACCCGTAGCATGAGTTCAATGCGATCAGCTTCTCCTCGACCGGGGTCAGACCCTTGAGCTCATCGGGAAACATGTGCTCGCATCCGAGGCGGCAGTGTAGTTGGGCAGCCGGTGACGGGCTGCTCCGCTTCAGGTGACGCACACATTCTCCACAGCTCGAGATATTGCTCCCCATGGGAAAGCATATCCGGCATGAAAGTGGTGAGCCATCTCGCTTTTCGAGAGGACTCGACGCCCACTCGTCCCATGTTATTTTTTCAACTCATCCGTCGCACACTTTCGATAACAGAAAATGCAGGTACATATCGGCAACGTGCTCGGATTATGGAATGCCTTGTAGAACTCCTGCACGGTCGACGTCTTCCGCTCCAGCGGAATAGGCCTACACCACTCCTGACTGTTGGACAGTTGCTCTTTTTCGTTGAAATCCTCCTCCAAACAACGCAGGACACTGGCTCCCACTTCTCTTGTCTGACGTCGCACCTCGGTTCGAACACGCTTTCGTGGCGGCTGGCCTTTAGTTTGCTTACTCTAGTTTGTCGTGAGAAAGAGTATACCATCATACTGCTCTAGTTCGCGTAAGAATATGGACACTATAAAAAGTTTTATATCGTTGCTGGTATAGCTTATCTCACCTCAGAAAACTTAACGGCTACGAAATGTATGGAGGTAAATGGAAAGCGCCTCATGGATGATGCCGCACTAATCAATTTAGGAAATCGTACAGTACCTGACACATATCTTGAAGATATTCAGGAAGATATTAGAGCGTAAAGAAGCATTAATGGGATGTTTGGATGGTCAGTCCGTGGCAATAATAGAACTACGCGCCCCGGGAAGATCTCTTGGTATAGGTGGCAACCCGTTATTAAGCACACAAGACGTCGATAGTATTCTACAACACCTACCCCATACTCTTCATTCCCTTAGCCTCAAGAGTATTAACATGGTTCCTTCCCAAGTCTGCTTACTCCAGTGCATTGCCCAAAAACTCGAACATCTGTCTACAGGTCGACGTCTAAGTGATATTGACAATATCTTAAATCCAAAGCAACAGTGGCTCTTCAGCAGTCTTCAGTACCTTGACATTTCAGACCTAGGGAACTTTGGAAATATCACTTCACCATTACCCCCATCCTCCGCTCCACTAGATATAATCGAGCTGGGTGAGCGAGTGTGGAAGAGAGCCGTTCAGATCAGAGAGAGACTTGAGCTCATGGGGTGGGTAGCAGAGGAGTTTAGTAGACGGCATTGGCTTATTCGAAGATTTCTATGTCTGAAGCTATAGAGTGAAACGCTTTTGAGCAGCTCTTTGATCCTCTCGTCGGCAGTTTGGCCGGAAAGCTCAAGCTCCGGTAGAGCCGACTCCAGGCTCTCTCTGCTGAGGGAGTGCGCAATGCGCTCTACTGAAGGCAAGTCTTTTCTCGAAATTCACTGCAGTATTCAAGCTGCACCGGGAGGAGCAAGACTAGAGAAGTGTGCGCATTACCGAGCAAGCCTCACTGACCATGACGGACATCTCATATTGAGCCTTTAATAAAACTGTTGCGGAGAGAATCTGGAGAAATAAATCTAAAATTCAGAGACTAGACCAGATCAGGCATTGTCAGAAGTACGGTTCGTGTCCAGAAACTTCGCATTATAAGTTGCCGTCCGGGCGACCTTGCGTGCCGATCCGAGAATGTCCACCGGCGCGTGATCTTTGACGATCTCCCATAGCTCATCAATCCTCTTCACGACCCAAGGCTCAAGCGGCCCTTTCTCCAACTCCACGAGCGATTCCTCCACCTGCTCCGTAGTCGCACCACCAATAATCATCTCGTCTCCCAGGTTGCCATCCAACACTGAGTGAAACCTGACCCATCGGTACGCCAAGCCGACCCGGCTCACACCCGAGTCTTCCGAGAGCTGCCCAAACTCCTTGAGCAGCTTCAGGTAAGACGGTTTATAGAATAGGTCCCGTTGGATTTGGCCATATGGCGTATTTGGGTCCCAGCTGCCACGGCCTTGCTCGATGTATTCCGGTGTCTTGGCGAGGAAGCCATTGCCCATAGGGGAGTAGGCTTGCAGCGAGAATCCAAGTTCTCTGAGCGTGGGGAAGAGCTCCGCTTCGTTGCGTCGTACAATGAGACTGTAACTGGACTGGTAGACGGTGGGGAGGACGTAGTCTTTCGACTTGGCGGCATTGTAGATGTCTAAAACCTGGTCCTTGGTGAAGTTTGAAATACCAAGCTTTTCGAAAATTCCTTCCTTGTATAGCTTCTGAAGGATCTCAATCTGCTCGCTGAAGGGGGTTGATTCATCCGGACCATGAAGGAGGTAAACTCGGACCTATAAATTAAATTAAAAACAAACCATTGTGTACGGGCTTCAGGCACTCTTTCTCACCTTTTCAGTCTGTAGTCCCTCCAGACTCTTCTTTGTAAAAGCCGCAATAGACCTTCCGGAGCCTGGAATTATAGCTGTGTCGGCTTTAGTGTCAATGGCGAATTGTGCTGCCAAGTTCCTCTTTCCCAACGACTGCTCAGAGAGTCCTTGACCCTGTCAATTCTGTGTCAGCAGTCAATTCTTTTCCTGCCATTTGCGAATCTTACGTAGGCAAAGGCTGTATCCAAGTTCTTGACGTTGTGCTTTTTCAAAATAGCCACAATTTTGTCAACCTTCTCATCATCTGGCCTCCATGTATGAGTGCCCACCGAAATGGCAACAAGCTTTGAGTCCTTAAGCGCAGACATGATTTTTTTTTTGATAAATATAAAGCAAATGTGAGATAGGATGTTTTGTTACTGGGGCGAAGCTTCTGGTGGTGACTTAGCTGGAGGATTCAATACTTCCATTCTATCAAATCTTGATATCATTTTTATATGCGTTTGACTTGCAAGCCACAGGCTTTCAACTCCTAGACCTGCATTTCAAATGCAACACCCAGGTCTTAACATGTGTAGTTAAGCCAAACAACTATTTCCTGATCAGGATAGCGAGCATATGAGGGCCCGCTTCAGACAAATAATTTGTCTAACCTGCTTCTGAATAGCTGATTTGTAAGCGCTAGCGCTTCAGGAGGCCAAGCAATTTCAATGGCTTCCGCAATCAGGGAGACAAAGTTCAGACAAAGTCCAGACAAATTCATTCTCCATTTTGTCCGTTCGGGGGTTATTCATTACATATATGCAGGCACTACTGGTGATTTCCTGATTACAAAATGGACGCGGGAACGGCCGACGCTATAGAGGCGAAGCTTGCGCTTCAACCTCGACGCCGACCAGGACGGCCTCGACTCTCGGAGATGACGGAAAACCGCGGTGACGAAGAAATCGTATGAAGGACCAATGCATTGTGCTGAGAAATCCCAAGCTCACGCATCTTCTTAGGTAAAAAAGGTGAGACAAAGAATAGCGCAGCGATCCTACCGCAGCCGGAAGCAAGGCGCACTGGTTTTGGCCGAAGCGCGGGCCTCCAGACTTGAGGGATCTCTGAACAAAGCATTGCAGTCTTTCGCTCAGTTCCAGGATTATATTATTCAGAAAGGCCCTGCCAGTCTTCCTCCGGATATTCTTTTACATCTGAGCAAAACCGCCGTAAAGCTCACAACCATTGCCCAACGGGCACGGAGTGACAACGCAGCAGACAACAATGGTGAACAGACATATGCAGCAAACTTGCTACAATCTTCCATTACAGAGGTTTCTAGGCCACTTCTGCCGTGGCTTAACCCAGACAAAGCTGCTATGAGCGACCTTCAGCATGGTCTAAACCTACCGCAAGACGACGGTCTGAGAACATATTCCTTAACATATCGCATGCTTCATGCATGCTTGCTCCGCGCCATTGCGATATTCTCCCACCAGCTCCCGCCGAAAGATTGGGACCCTCCGAGCGTCCTGCTTGCTCTCAGCATCGCTCGCTCAGATGTTCTCGTGACGATGAGCGTGAGGCAGGCAAAAGAAATTACGGACGGATACTGGAGAGAGGCACAGTACACCGAGTCGATGCTGAATGTCCTCCCCAAGATGTACCGCACCATCGAAGGCACGCGCCAGTACGCCGTGCCACGATCCGCGCCACCGAAATTACAGATGCTGCAGCCCGGACGCACGAGAACGGTGCTGCAGACGACGATTCCGGACCTCAAGGGCGAGTGGCTCGAGGCATGCGATGTCGAAGAATACCTTGCTGAGCGAGGCATATGTGTCCGCGGCGAAGACGTAGGAGACATGCTGGAACTGGTTTTGCCCTCCGTCGATTCTGTTCCACCTCTTATGTATGATAGCACGGCCTTGACACGTGCTGGCTTCACGATATTCGGGAGAGCGGATATTGAGGGTCAGCACATTCCATCCGGGCTCTGGAGCTTCACGCCATCGCCGCAACAGTACGCAGACTTTTCGACACTACAGCAACAGCAGAATGCCGTCGATCAGAATTTAAGTGTCCCGGCAGCGACACCTAGTGCCAGAATAACCATAAATCTCGACAAACTGGTTTCTGTGCTCGCATCAAACGCTGTTTGTTTAGGGCCTGCACCGGGGATTCAAAAAGGGGCAGTTGACCTAGCAATCAGGGAGTCAGTCATGACGATGACAGGCGAGGCTTCGCGATAAACGGATTGACATTTCACGGAATCTTACAGCTTCCACGGCAGCTGATTGATTACGCAAGGCCATATCTCCAGGGGTCTTCGAACTGCAGCAGCGCCCCGAGCAAAGCCGACTCCCTTTTCACGGGAGTCAAGGTACCCTCACCGCGACGTATTCTTACATGTATCGAATGGCCAAACTGGGTTATCATTTGTTGAGCTACGGTATCTCCTTGACAGTCGAGTGGCAGCAACATAGACGCTGAATCAATACTGAGCCAGCGAAAACAATACCTATTTCTCATGTTGGATTGTGACCTCGGGTGGCGGCATAAATATCGCCATCAAAGATAAAAGTTGCCACCTATTGCCACTGGCTTATCAAGCATCTTCTAGTTGATTCCACATAGCTCAGAAAAGGCATAAAAAGCCTGCCCTGAACCCTTAAGAAGAAAAAGGAACAACCTTCTCATTTTACATCACTTAATCAATTACTTCTGCTATTGCATATATCAAATTGCGTATGTGACATCTCACTATAATTAATATGAGCTTATAAGTATTGCCAAGCCTTTATTCTTAAAGGCAGAATATTACTGGATAAAAATAAAACTGAATGCAGTTGCTACTACTCGACTATTAAGGAGATACTTTACATAAGCTATTATAGCATAAGACTATAGGAAACCCAGTCTCCTTGCCTTCTAACTGCAGAAGCTACAGATTATTTTCGCCTACTAGCAGAACAATATTAAGAGACTAATTAAATTGGGCTATAGATTAATTAAAATTAATTAGTGTTGCTAATTAATACTT